GTTATACATCTAGGTAGAAGCAGGGTGTCTGCTATATTAGTATCTATTCTTTCATGTCTAAAGTCTTTTCATAATTCAAATATTTAAAACAAGATCTAAAAATTAATCTCTAGGCTGTACTTCTTTTAAAATATAAGAATATATTATAAGATTATAAAAATATATAGAATAAGGCTCATAACAAATAAAGTTCTATCATGTGGCCCTGAACATAACAGAAACCAATTTGAAAAATAGCTTTTACTGATGATATTTTTTCCAGTTGCCATAAAGTCAATTCCAACCTGTGACACTGTTGTTGTTGTTGTTGTTATGTGCTGTGAGTTGGACTTGACTCATAGTGACCCCTCCTTGGGTTTCTGAGGCAGTATCACTACGGAAGTAGATTGCCCCATCTTCCTTTCGAGGAGTGACTGTTGGGTTTGAACTGCCAGCCTTGTCAAATTAGAACTGTGCTCCATAGTGTTTTCAAAGGATGATTTGTGGGAAGTAGATCACAAGAACTTTCTTCCTAAGAGCTTTCTTTTTAGGGATTGGGATTGTGATCAAGCACTTAATGTCATGCCTTAATAACTTTCAACTGGAGAGGTGAATTAGGTAATGCCCCTACCCACTATGGACACACCTCTATTTGCATGAAGACCTTTGCTTACTGGAAAACAAAGGAGAGAATAAGGTTGTTCTCTTACTTTGTTTTATTCATGCAAGACCATTTTGAAGAAGAGGTAGAGGAGAAAAATGTCATGCTATCCTTCTCCACCTGCCTCTCTGCCTGACTCAGGGTCCAAGGGAGAGTGAAAGCCAGGATTTAATGGGACTATTTTCATGAGGGATGACGCTGTGGGGCTCTGAACATACCTTGTGCTAAAGCCCCAAGTCTGGAGAAGGACATTCTATTCATTCCAGCATGAAGTACAGAATCTCTCCAGAGAAATTTGGCAGGTGAGGTCTTTGGTGAGAACCACAGTGTTATCGATATGGCATTGTCATAAAAGGCAGAATCAAGACCCTTTATGAAGAGACTGGAACAGAAAAGACCACCACTCTTTCAAGGAAAAAAAAATGGCAGTGCAGATGCCTAGCTGTTTAAATGGGAGCTCAGAGGTAC